ATCTGGACCCACACAGATCTGGACTGCTATTTACAGCAGTGGTCACATAAAGTTGGTACAGGAGCTGATCACTGCTGCCCCCTGCTGGCACTCAGAGGTCGCTGCCTCTGTTGTGGGAAGACTTCACAAACAATACAATGTTTATTAACCTTTGACCTCTGACTAATTGTTTAATTGACTGTTTAGTCTATTTTACAGCCAATAATTCCTCATGGGAACCAGAACTGGGTCTCCAGCTGTTACACTGACTGATAACTAACCTGCATATGTTGGACAGTTCGCATCATTAGCATTAATATTCAGCTGAATGGACGATATCTCAGCAGCTGATTGGCTGATTGGGACAATAAAAGAGGTTTTAGGATTATTGAGGACGTTCCATTTCTGACAAACTACAATAATTAATAGTATTAACACTACGGCTGTAAACTCAGGTGGAATGATCCGTTTTCATGTGTTTTGTTTGTGTGATGTGTACTTTTTGTCGTTGAGGAACCCCCCTAGGACCAGATGGTACGTCTCAAGGAGTTTTTTTTCTAATGAAGAATTCCAATAAATAAATAAAGTGGACATTTAAACCAAAAGTGGACATATTTCAGCTCCCAGCGGCTGATTGTGATTCATACTGAGGTTATTTATATAACATAATACATATCCACAGCGGTAAAGCAGCCAGCCAGCAGAACTGAAGGGATGGGAACCAATCAAATTGAGCTTTACTGATTCTACAGCTCCAATGTGTTAATTATATCAATAACCTCAGAATGAATCACAATCAGCCCACTGGGAGCTGAAATATGTCCACTTCTGGTTTAAACCGCGATCCTCAATAACCTCCTTTAGTGTCCATGTAACAGTTCTGGTTCAGGCAGACATTACCATCTGTTTCCTCCAGCCGGGCTGACGATGGCGTCTCTCTCGCTCTGAACAAACAAAGAACCGGCGCTTACACAGGAAGGAATCTGACTGATGAGCTGTAATTCTAACATTAATATTTAATCCCGTACACTAGAGCAGCACTGAAGGCCTGACGCTGCAGACACACTCCCTTCATCTGCAGTGCGTTGCAGGACTGTTTCATTGTGGCGTCCATGTTAAAGAGTTAGCTTCACTAATGAGTCGAGTCCCGCAAGAGACAATGAAACTGATCATATCGACATTAAACCAGCAGCACTGACACCTTTTACTACAGCAATGTCTACTTCTAAAAGTTAAAATTAAAACTAATTATTTGACATCTGAACCGTAAACTGCAGTTCCTGCACTGTGTAAACACATTTATAGGTAGTGCGTACTAGTCTCCTTCCTAAAAACATCTCATTATATTAAATCTGTATTTCTGTTTTTTACTGTGTAAAAAGGTTAAATAGTTGAGTAATTAAGAATTAAAGTATTATTGTGATATGTTTAACCTATAAGGTGACTTGACATATTTAAATTGTAAAGTTTATATAAATCTGTTTTTAGAAATAGATTCTTGTCATAATAAACAGATATCAATCAAATCTAGGTTATTCTATAAAACTGTTGTAATGTTTTCTGTGTAGATTATAAGTAGAAGTTACACTGTAAACTGATTACATTCTAACAATGTTCCTCATATCTTTAAGTGAGAATGACTTACTTTTGTAATTTTTATTTGTACTGTGAAACAAGACTTTAAAAAGTTATCAGAAATGTTTCTGGCACTTAAAATTAGCAGTAAAAGCAGCTTAATCAAGACTTTTTTTAACCCCAAAAATTGGGTTTGTTGAGGAATTAGTTTCTTGCTGAGGAACACTTCGACAATCTGAGCGGAGATCCTCAGGGTTCGATTCTGGTGCCCCTATTGTTCAACCTTGAAGCTCCACCTTGGCCAAATCCTACATTTAAGATAAAAACGTTGCTTATACGCAAATGATACCCCAACCTACATCCGTCAGCAAATCAAATCAACTGTGCCACAGAGTTATTGTAATTAATAATTAAAGCAAATAAGTAACTGTATGTGACTATATTTCCTTTAGTTTCAGACTGAAATCCATCAGGAAAGGCTCAATGGTTCAGTAGTATTTACGATTAACGGCTCAAATTGAGGGAGTTGATGTTGAGAGAAGTCAGGGAGAACAGACGGAGACTGAACATGACCGTTTCTGGTTAAAAGACTTTATGATGACTCTACTGTACAGTGAATTAAAGTGGAGAACCTTCATAGACGGGTGGGGAGCTGCCATCTGAAGGGTTAAACCATCCATGTCAACATTGCATAAAGAAATCCATCGTCAGAACAAAGCAGAGCAGCAAGATAAAGAAAAAATAAAAACTCACAGTCGAAAGGTTCTGAACATACAGATAAAGAAAGGAGTTAGGTCAAAGGTCATGGAGCTCAGAAGAACAACACATTGATTACATTTCCACCGAGCAGGAGAGTGTGTGGCACTTTGATGGTGTGAAAACCTCTGAGTGTGTGTGTGTGTGTGTGCTTAGTAGTCCAGTGTGCTGTGTTTGTCTTCATTAAAACGGCAAGGTCTGCAACAGAGTTGGAGTGTCTTTTAGCTCTTAATGCTAGCACCGTGTGTGTGTGTGTGTGTGTGTGTGTGTGGTGTGTGTGTGTGTGTGTGTGTGTGTGTGTATTGTCACTAATTGCACTTGAGGATGAGGATATGGAAATCACATTGCCGGTCAGATGTCTGCAGGTTTTTTGGCATATTTCTGGAAATGTTTGGGACAGTTGAAAACACAAAGAGAACATAAACTGGGGCC